GGGAGGGGTGGACTTCCCAGCCCCTCCTCAGTGCTGGAGGAAGGCCCTCGTTCCCAGACTTCACCCCACCTCTTGTCCAGCAGCATCTGGGCTTAGACATCCCGGGGCAGGCAACGTGAGTCACTGAAGGCCAACAGCAAGGGACACTGAGTCACTCTGGCCTGATGCAATCCACGCCTCAGGCCTGGGGCAGCTCATGAAACCCTGCTTCCCAGATCAGAAGAGCCAGGGGGACTGAGAAAAAGAGGCTAATCCTTTTTTAATTTTATTTTTAATTTAAACTTCTTTTCAAAGACAGGGTTCTTGTCATGTGGCACTCTTCCTGCGTCAGCCTCCCAGCTTGGACTCTGGATATATGCCACCATGTCTGGCTCTTTCATAGACAGAGTTTGCTACACAGACAGGCCAGCCTTGGGCTCACGATCACCCTCCCTCAGCCTCCTGGAGTCGCGGGGACTACGGACACAGGCCCCCACGCCTGGCCTTTAGGGTGGACTTGAGGCCGGTGGATGACATGGTGGTTGAGATGCTAGATTCCCACAGGCTGACACAGTTTGAGTCCCGGACCCAGCAGCTTGCTTTCTCTCTCTGTCTTTGTTTGTCTCTGGCCAAAAATTGAAGAATGATGATAATATGTTAATACATTTAAAATAAATAATTCTGAAAACTAAATTAAAAATGTCACGAACTCATATTAAGATTCATTTGTTGAAAAAAAACAAAAAAAGGGGGAGGAGCCAGCAGGTGGCGTGGTGGCTAAGATGCTGGACACTCCCACGTGGCCGACCATGGTTCGAGTCCTGGACCTGGTGGCTTACTTTCTCACTTTCTCTCACTCTCTCTGTCTCTCTCTGGTCAAATTATAATAAAGGAATGAATAAGAAAAATTAAATAAATAATTATTAAAAAACAAAACAAAACAAAACAAACAAACAAACAAAAACAAAAAAAAGGAAGGATTTGTAACCAAAGCTGGGCCTCCATGTGTTCTGGCCTGCAGAGCACAGTGTCTTCATCTTAGCAGTGTGCCTGCTGCATGTGGGCCCTTAATTTAGACTACCAAAAATAAATAATTATTAATAATTTAATTGATCGATTGTAACTGTATACATTTATGGGGTGCAGTGTGTTTTCATATATGCTTATGTTGCTGAATAACTACATCAAGCTAATTAGCATGTCCATCATGCCCACCTAGACCCCTCTGCGGCTCGTTTCCTGCCTGGGGGAAGGGAGGGCAAGCCAGGAGCTGTGGAGAGTGTGGGGCTCTGCATGGCGTGGAGGGCATGGACGGGGCAGGGAACAAGGCTGATGTGCAGGAACGCGGGCTGGTGAGCCCACCGCCCCCGCACTGACAGATCAGGCCTGCACAGACCTGAGGTGTGGACATACTTATTTTATTTCTTTTTTTTTAAACAATTATTCATGTAATTTTATTTATTCATTTATTTATTTTAATTTGACCAGAGAGATTAGAAGTAAGAAGCAAGCCACCAGGTCTGGGACTTGAACCATGGTGTATTGTCTATTTTAAAAATTGCTACGAGAGGCTAATCTTTTTTTTTTTTTACTTTGCCAGCTGGGATTGCGGGCTTACCCATACCCCCCTGCAAATGGATCATGGCCACGTGGCAATCCCTTCTTCATTTCTCCCGCCTTTTGGAACTTTTGACACACATGCACATGTGTTTGGTGTATTTTTCAAGTTGCTGGTCAGGGGCTCGAACTGTGTGGTCAGTCACGTGGGATCCAGCTACCTTAACCATCAGGCCACAGCTGGCCCCTGGAAGAGGCTAATCTTTCTGTTCCTGTGACAATTAAAAGGAAGATGCTGCTTCCCAGGCAGCCAGGATTGGGCTCTTTCCTATTTTGGTGCTCTCACCAGGAGGCTTTGATGAGTATGTCTGTCGAAGAATGAAAGACGCTTGATTGCATGAAAGACTGAAGGGATGAATGCCACAGGCTTATCAGCTTGTCCCCGACTTGCATCTGTCAGCATAAGGCCTTCTCATAACTATATCAACAGCCACTACTTACTGGTGCTAAGGACGTCGGGCTCTGCCCAGGGTTATCCTGATCCAGTCGACTTTCGAATCTTTTCGATCTGAAAGGCACTTGTCAGTAAATTCCCTATACTCCGCTTCTCTGAGCACCTTCTCAACTCCACGGCTGGACTGATACGGTATCTGAGACATGCTTCCGATACTTGGTGGAGTTAGGGGCAGGAAGGAAGGAGCAGCTGCGTGTTGGTAATGAGGGAAGTGGGCGGCGGGTAAGTGACAGTCATTCTATCATTTCCTACACTTGTGAAGATGCTTCACCATTTTTTTTTTTTTTTTGAGAGGTTTTTGCTATAGGGCGCATGCACTTGCCAGAAAGACAAAGACAGAGAGATAGAAAGCAAGAAATTGCCCCCCGGGGGGATGACCATGCTATAATCCCTTCTCTATTCTCCTCTCGGGATCTTGGGCACACACGCACACACACCCAGTGTGAGTTTAAGCCACTGGGTCCGGGACTCGAACCGCGGTCGACTATGTGGGAGTTCAGCAACATAGCCATTACGCTAACTGCTGGTCCTACCATTTTCATAATAAAGAGGTAAACAAAAGTCTGCCCTGGGCCAGCCATGGTCCAACTGTAGGGTTCAAGTCCTAGACTCACTGACCAGGTGTGTGTGTGTCCAGAACCCGGAAAGGAGGGAGAGATAGAGGAGAAGGGACTACAGCATAACCGTCCCCCTAAGGTGTGGGTACTTTTCATCCCCACTCCAAGCAAGTGCAAGTGTCCTCCAGTGAATTAAAAAAAAAAAGTCTGTCCTGGGGTACAGCTCTCTAGAGCAGTGCCCCCTTTCTGGTGCTCTCTTGCCCCTAATTCCTCTTTCCATGTAGGTAAATTGAGAATCAGCAGAGCTGGGACCAGCAGGTGGCGTGGTGGTTAAGGTGCTGGACACTCCCACATGGCTGACCACGTTTGAGTCCCGGACATGGTGGCTTGGTTTCTCGCTTTCCCGCTCTCTCTGTCTCCCTCTGGTCAAATTAAAATAAATGAATGAATAAATAAAATGAAAAATAAATAATTATTAAAAGAAATAGAATTAGCAGAGCTGTCTGCACTGGCTGTGGGCTGGGGCAGGATTCCAGTCATCCTGGGCCCCCAGACTACCAGGCCCCTGCCTCTGGATAGAGATGCCCATCCCCCTTCACAGCCCAAGACTCAGAAGAGTACCCCCTTCTGACAGCCCTTCTCCCCTCTTCCCTGGCCCAGCTACTAAACCTGGGTGTCCCCAGGGTCTGTCCTGACTGTCCACACTCTTCCTCTCTATCCTCTCCTGGGTGATCCATGCATGCCCTCCCTGTAACTGTGCCCACCGCGCATAAATCTCCACTTCCAGTCCTGTCTCTTTGGCGTGGCAGACTCCTGTCCGAACCCACTTCACCCCTAGCTATGGTGAGGGATTCTTCTTCCATCTACATGCAGCACCTGCAGTCCCACAGCACCCCCGCCCTGCTCCCCATGGCAATCTGGCTCCTGCGCCTATGGTATTCCATTATAGCAGTCCGAACAGACTAAGGCGGAACCGAAAAAGCCTAAAACAACAGAGAATGAGACTGAAGCCAGGGATGGGCTGTAAACCCCCAGAACGTATGGGGTCAGAGGAGCAGATGCTGATTCTGAAGGGGCAGATCAAAATCAATGACCCTGAGAGAGAGGACAGGAGAAACCAGCAAGTGAAACAAAAGGAACACAGAAACCACCGACTCGGCTCTCTAAGACGGACAGAGCATCAGAGGAAGGAGCGGTCAACGTAGAGCACACTTCTAAGACATCAGGAAAGAAGACGTGTCCACGGGACTTGGCAGCTTTAAGGTGGTCACGGGGTGTCCTGGCAGGTGGGGGAGCCAGGCTGCCGGGGTGAAGGGCCACGTGGGACTGAGGAGCACAAAGGGGCGATGAGGTGGAGGGGTCCACCTAGACCCCTCTGCGGCTTGTTTCCTGCCTGGGGGAAGGGAGGGCAAGCCAGGAGCTGTGGAGAGTGTGGGGCTCTGCATGGCGTGGAGGGCATGGACGGGGCAGGGAACAAGGCTGATGTGCAGGAACGCGGGCTGGTGAGCCCACCGCCCCCGCACTGACAGATCAGGCCTGCACAGACCTGAGGTGCGGACACCCTCCACCTCCCAGGTACCCAGAGGTAGAGCAGAGAAACTGTGCAAAGCTCGGGCCCGACATTCCCAGGTTTCGGGCTGAGATCTGTGAAAGGCAGGTAGGAGGGTTGGGAATCGGGGCTCAGATTTTTTGCACTGCAAGACCAGTAGATGGTAATGGTTACGTCACTGGACTCCCACGTAGTTGGCTGTGGTTCAAATCCTGGACTAGCAGCTTAAAACTCACGCCAGGTGTGTGTGTACGTGCGCAAGATCCCAAAAAGAGAATGGAGGACAAGGGACTGTGGCGTGGCCATTTCCCCTAGAGGGGGTGATCTCTTGCTTTTTGTCTTTCCGTCTCTCTGGCAAGTGCACGCACCCTATGGCAAAAATCTCTCTCTGAAAAAAGAAAGAGACGCCAGGACAGGCTGACTGACAGGCAGCGAGAACTCTGATGCTGGCTGGACTTGAAGTCTCTGCACAGGCGGTCACCTGGGCAGCCATGCGGGGTGGGGGCTAAGACTGAGAGGCAATGTCCATTTCCGGGTTGTCAAGAAGCAGGGAAGACCTCGAGGGGAGGCAGGAGCTGCAGTGGGGAGAACGACCTCGAGCTGGTGCCAAGACTAGAGTCTGATGGCTGGGGAAGTGGGGGTGGACAGAGCAGGGAGGGCCCCATGAAGAGAGAGTTTGGGGAGAATGGGCACATAGGACACCTGGCTGCCAGAGGCCTGCCCGCCAGGATGGACCTCCAGTGACCTCTGGTGACAGCACTCAGCTGAGGGCCGGGCAGCCAAACCAGCCACCAGCTCCTCCCTTTCCCGCTCATCTGCCGACGCACCAGTGCCTGACCCGCACCTCTTTGATGGCTGCCATGCGCACAGTCTCATAGTAGTGCAGGGGTGCGTTGGGTGTGCTCATGTCGTAGCCAAAGCCCGCCACTGCCACCTCGTCACAGCCGTGTAGTGCCATAGTCACCGCCACACTGCCGAGGGTTGGGATGTTCTGGAGTTGGGAGAGGAGGCATGCAGTTACACTCCCAAAAGACTGAGCCCTCTTCCCCACAAACTACCCCGTACCCGCCACCTCCTCCTCCCCTCCCAGGGCACGGCTGGCCCAGCCCTCCTTCCTCACCCAGGGGCCCAGGCAACTCACCCCCCGGCCCATGAGGCCATTGTTGAAGGGCAGTCCGATGAGGGTGAAGGCGGCCTCCTGGATGAAATATGGGTTGAGGATGCGAATCTCAGGGGGCTCCTTGGGTACTCGAGTGGCCACAGACTTCCAGAAGCCATCTGATGCGCTCTGTGGACACAGCACGAGAGGGAGTAAGCTGGGCGCACAGCTAGCAATGGGACCGGGGGTGGCAGGGACCCTGAGTGTGGGCAGGTAAATGAGAAGGGAGGTGGAGTGCACGAGGGGTGTATGGGAGCATATGCACATAGGTCTGAGAAGGCCTTCGCACGTGGGCGACATGGGGTGTGTGACAGAGGGCCAGCCGTGGGTAAGAGTGAGGCTGGTGTGGAGGGGTGGGCACCCAGGGGTCTGGGGCAGGGCTCAGGGTGTGGGGCACCATCAGGAGCACTGCTCTGGCCCGAGGGGTCCCTGGGCCACAGGAAGGGCCTGTGGTGCTGCTGGCCTGCCTGCCCGTCTCCCGGCAGGGTGGTCTGCCTCCCTGTCCTCTCTGCTCTGCCCTGCTTCCTGCCCCCTGCCTTCTGCTGCCCCTCCAGGCTCCCTTGGTCAACTGTGCTGAAATGAACATGAAAGATAAGGACAGACATGAACTGGTACAGCAGAGCCAGGCAACCTCTCATCCCAGTTCTGCCACGGATCAGAGCCGGGTGACTCTGGGTAAGCTCTCTGAGCCTCGTTTCCTGAATTGTAAAATGGGGGCATTCTTCGCTTGGCGGGCTCAGCATCATACCAGAAAGGCCTCACCTCTGAAATCTGACATCCAGGGTCCGTTCTGGGGCCAGCTCCTTTCTCTCTCTTCCTTCCTCTCACTCAACCCCCTGAAGTGCTCTAGTCCTTCAGCCCGGCCTTGTGTTCACTGTGGGCCCTTCCTGGTTCCTGGTCCAGACCCTGAAGGACGTGACTCACACTCACTCTCTTGTGAGCTCCCTTACTACACTGCCCTGAGCTGGGGCTCAATCCATTCCCCCTGTCTTCCCCTTGCAGTGGGCAGAATGCGGCCAGGGCCTCACAAACTAGCCCTGCAGGCTGGAGGCTGGTCTGCCTCCACGGGCTCCAGCCTATGGCTCCTGGTGACTATATTACTTGCCAAAAGAATCAACTAATTTAGTACCTAATAGGTAATAAAATATACATCTAAATTAGAAATTTAGGGGGCTGGCGGGTGGTGTGGTGGTGGAGGTCCTGGGCTCCCACATGTCTGACCACTGTCCGAGTCCTGAACCTGGTGGCTTGCTTTCTCACTTTCCATCTTTCTCTGTGTATCTTTCTCTCTCTGGTCAGATTAAACAATAATAATAATAAGTAAAACTTAATAAATATATTAAAAAAGAAATTTAGATGTGTATCTAATTTTTTTACTACTTATTTATTTTTTAGAGAGAGAGACTTTTTAGAAATTTAGATTTTTTTGGGGGGAGAGGTTTTTGCTATAGGGCACGTGTGCTCGCCAGAAAGACAGAGAGAGACAGAAAGAAAGAAATCACCCCCCAGGGGGATGGCCACGCCACAATCCCTTCTCCTCCATTCTCCTCTCAGGATCTTGGGCATGCATGCACACACGCCCGGTGTGAGTTCAAGCCACCGGGTTTGGGACTCAAACCACAGTCGACTACATGGGAGTTAAGCAACATAGTCATTATGCTAACTGCTGGTCCCTAGATATATATTTTATTACCAAATTTTCTAAACTTTAATGCGATAGAAGAAATAAAGGAAAAGATAAACAGATTTTGACTTTCTAAACTGATTTTTTTTTTTTTAAGGTATTGCCATAGGGCATGTGTGCTGGAGAGAGAGAGAGAGAGAAATCATCCCCAGGGGGTGCCATGCAGCAGTACTCTCTCCTCCATTCTCCTCCTAGGACTTTGGGCATGTATGCACGTATGCTCAGCGTGATTTTCAAGCTGCTGGGTCCAGGACTCAAACCGTAGTCGGCCATGTGGGAATCGGGGAGCCTTAACTACCATGCCACCTGCTGGCCCCAACCTTATAAACATTTTTAAGTGTTTAGTATATTGGAAATATAATAAGCAAAATTAAGGAAACAAAAAGGTGGGGAAAATTTTGTCACAAATAATAAGTACATTCTGAAAACTCATGAAAAATCAACGAGACCTCATAAAAACTGATAATGCATAAAGGACGGTAAACAAGCATAACAATTCAACTCCGTAGTGTCAAAAGAAAAGTGCATTCAAATAACTAGAACTATTTTTTTTACCCACTAAAATGTGTGTGTTTGGGGCTGGCAGGTGGCATGGTGGTTAAGGGCGCTGGATTCCCACATGGCCAACTGTGGTTTGGGTCCCAGACCTGGTGGCGTGCTTTCTCACTTTCCCTATCTCTCTCACTCTGCCCCTTTCTGGTCAAATTAAAAATAAACAAATAAAGTTAAAGAAAATAATTCTTTTTAAAAAAGCGTGTGTTTATCTTACAGCCTGTGGTAATATGCTGAGATTGCCCGCTGCTCCAGGGGCAGGATTTGGTACAGCCCTTCTAGGAAGCAACCTGACAATATGTACCAAAAGTTTCAAGCCATTAGTACCTGATGGCCCCAAAACATCCCTTCTAAAAGTAATGGGATTGATGAATACCTTTATAAAATGCTATTTATTTGTGATTTGTATGTTTGTTTGCAATAGGGCATGTGTGCTTGCTGGAGGACAGAGAAAGCAGAGAAAGCGACAGTGAGAAATCACCTCCCGGGTGATGGCCATGCTGCAATCTCTTTTCCTCTTCTCTTCTCAGGATTTCAGGCATGTATGCACATATGTCTGGTGTGATTTCCAAGCCACCAGGTACAGGACATGAACTGCAGTTGGGCACGTGGGATCCAGCTGCCTTCATCTCATGCCACCTGCTGGCCTTTTCCTAGTCATTTTATAAGACTCAGCATCTGTCTCTCTTCGTGTCTTTCCTGACTCTAACCTTTGAGAAGCGATACTTTATAGTTTAGATCTTTGGTCCTGGAATGTGACTTGAGGTCTGGTCCTTTGTGGAGACCCTGGGCAAGGGACATACCATCTCCTGGTGGCTGGCCCAGGGACACCATTGGTATCGAGTTCTTAGGGCTACCCTAAGAATTAAATGTCACCATTCTGGTGGAGTCCACCAGCAGGCAGGGGCTCATGTCCGATTACTTTCTGCAGCCCAGGGCCCAACCCAGCACGGTAGCGAGGAGGCACCGGTGGGTGGTTCCTGGAGGCCACGTGGCACCCGCCAGGACTCCCCCGGGCAGTACTTAGCAGACTGTCTGCCCCAGCCACTTCCTCAAGTCATCCTGTCCGTGGCAACATCTTTCTCTGGCAAATCCTACCTGCCCCCATGGGTGAGCTCAGAGGACAGGTCCTTGGGGCAAACACCTCAGTCTCAGCCCATCGGACTGGGCCGGCAGACCCCTGCTCATTGCTCCTGGGTCTCCAGGAGAGGATCTGCCTATAAGGGAGGCAGAGAGGGATGGCAGGACCCAGGAAAGGGACGGGTAGACAAATGGCCAAGATGTGAGGCAGAACTGGGGAGCGGGTCCTCCTGGGTGGGCCAGATGTGGGCTGCCAGGAACAGCAGGTACTAGCCTGTGCCAATCACAGCACAGTCCCTGTCCCCTCCCCAGGGCCTGGCAGGTCCTGGCAGTTTTCCCCCTGGGATTCCTGCCCGCGCCTGCCCCATACACACCTACAGAGAAGGCAGAAAGCACAGGGGCTGCTCAGGAGGGGTCAGGACAGCCAGGAAGGGGCATAGCTGGGTGTGTGTGTTTAGCTCTAGGCTGTTTTGGCCGACTTTATTTATTTATTTATTTATTTATTTATTTTTAAAGAGAGATTTCTGCTATAGGGAATGTGCGCTTGCCAGAGACACAGAGAGAGAAAATGAAAAATCACCACCACCCCCCCATGGGAGGATGGCCACACCGCAATCCCTTTTCCATTCTCCTCTTGGGATTTTGGGCATGCATACATACATGCCCGGTGTGAGTTTCAAGCTGCAGGGTCTGGGACTTGAACCATGGTCGCCCACGTGGGAGTCCAGTGCCACAACCACTATGCCACCTGCTGGCCCCTCTACACACTTTATTTACATCTGTTCAACTTTTACCCACTTCACAGACACAGGCCTTGAGATAAAGCAACACATTCAAGGTCACATATCCTACAAGTGGCTGCACTGATTCAAACCCAGGAGTCCTGACTCCAGGACGGGATCCTTACCGCCACGACATCTACCATCACAGTTGTTTCCACCTCAGGAAGTCGGGGGGCTTGGGGCCAAAGACGAAAGAACCGCCCTGCCCTCCCAGAGCTCTTAGGTGAGTTAGGGGTCATCCTGGTGCCCCACATCCTATTTTACAGAGGGCACTGAGGCTCAGAGAGGTCAGGGGACTTGCCAGGGTGCACACACAGCTGGGGAGATCTGACCCAGCTTCAACTCAGCCCAGCTCTTTCCACGGATGGATGCCCTCTCTGAAACCATCGCTCTTGGCCTTTCCCATGTGCTGTAAGTCCTGTATTTAATCACCACGGGAGACCACAGGAAATTAGCTTATTATCTCAACCCCCTTTGAGAATCTCACAAAAGCTCCAGCAGGGAGGGGAAAGCTACTGCCTCTCTTTCCACCTGACTCTCTCCTGGAGGAGAAAGGACCAATTTGCTTGATTTAAGACACTGTCAATTCACTCTCTGTCTCTGTCTCTCACACACACAGCTCTTCTTGACTTCCTGCTTCTAGGCAGCAGTGGGTAAGCTGAGGCAGAGCCTGCCTCACTGGGGAGGTGATCCCCAGCTCCCTGTGCTCTGGAGCTCCTGCCGCCCAGGGCTGGCCACGGCAGCAGCTGAGTGACGTGGGGGTCCTGGGGGAAAGGGTCCCAGGGAGCCGAATGTCAGAGGACTGGGGAGCTGGCGCAGCCTACAGTTCAGTGCTTTTCTTCTTTCCCGTCTGTCCTGACCTCTGTGGGCCCCACTGCAGAGCCTCCTTAGGGGCTCCAGAGGAAGGCGGAACAATAAGACCAAGATATGATTTAGACATTTCTGTCCTTCTCCAGCCATAATAATATCAAGTGCCAACAAAACCCCAGCCCGTCTCCCCATCCCTCCAAAAGCGAAGGCTCCTCTGCAGA